GCAGCCACCTCCAGGCCCAAGACCTCCAACCAGGACCTGGCCTGGAAACCGTACCTCCGTAGAAGCCGAGCCACGGCGGGGGCGGTGGAGTCGTCAGACGCTGTGAGGAACGCCTTCGACTTCGCCACGGGAAGGCCAAGATCCTGCAGGGTGTCGCAGAGCAATGCCACGGCGTCGGTGGCGATCCTGCACAAATCCGCCCGCCTGGCCACCACCTGCAGGGTAAGGTCGTCCGCGAATACGTCCAAAGAAAAGGAGAAACCCACCTGCGCAGGAATGCCGAGCCCAACCGTGCAGACGAAGTCATCCAACGACGCGAGCATCAGCAGCTGCACCATGGCCATCGCGAACTTGCAGCCTGGCAGAACTCCCTGGGGCACCGTAACAGCATACGACGTAGCCTGCTGCCACACCAACCTGCGAGGCGCACGGTACATCACCAAGGCACATGGAATCAACTGGCGCGGAAATCCGTGCTTGGCCGCCGCAGAAACCAGCCTCCGCCAACAGATGCGGTCGAAGCACTTCTCGACATCAACAATGGCCGTGGCGACGCCATCCTCGACCGCCAGTGCAGCCTCGGCCCTCACCAGGGCCCGTGAGGCCACATCCAGAGTGGTCTTGCCAGAGGCCAGGGCGAAGAAAGGCCTGTCGTGCTCCAGCAGCCAAGTCCGCAGCTGCCCGCTGCGGACCTGCGACCATACGCGGTAGGCCGCCTGCAAGAGCGCATTGGGCCGCCATCCACCTTTGGGCTTCGCCAGGAGCACAATGTGGACGGCAGCCATCTGCGTGGGCCAGCGCCCCCAGTGCTCCGCCAGCCAAAATACATAGACGAGCAACGAAAGGGTCTCGTCCGTGAGCAGGCTGAAAGAGCGAGGGGCAAGTCGGTCAGCACCTTGCCCCGTGTGCCACTTGAAGGACTTTGCTGCCGCACGCAACTGCCCAATCTTCGGCACAGGCAAGGAGGCGCGCGGCAAACGTCGAATATCCTCGAAAAGCTGGGCCGTATCAGGGAGATCCGCGAGGTGCCGCACCGCGTAGTCGTCGGGCCCATCAGCCGCTCCTTGCACTTGATCACGGGTGGGGACCACGGGCGCTGGGCGCGCATTCCAGATGCCCGACCAACCATCCATCTGATCATCGGCAACATCCTGAGCAAGGGTGGAGGGCCTCTGATGCCGAAACACTTGGGAATGGGGAACACCAGACGGCCTAGTGAAGCTGAATAGCGGCTTGATGCGAGACTCGCGACAGTTGGCAGCCCATCGCGCAAAGTCCCGCCTGCGCTCAGCCATCGCCTCCTGCTCCAGGCCGTCGGCGTAGGATCGAAGCCATCCAATGACAAAATTGACTGAATCCATCAGTAGGCGCTGCATGCCATTGAGACCCAGCCCCGTGAGACCAGTAGCAGACCTCCCAGCATGGTCACCTGACTGCACCGAGGCCGCACGATCCAACAGCTCCTGGAATGCAATGGGGGACGCTTCAACGACCTCTCGGGCCAGCGGCAAAACGCCACGCAGCGTGGCCACCACGTTCTGGCACTCGAGCGAGCGAAAAGACCTTTAAGCGCCCAGAGAGACAAGCCTGTCCAAGCGCCGAAGCAAATCCAAGGGTTGCAGACCTGCACGCAGCGCGTCGTCCGTCGCCTGGGCCAGACGTCGAGCACGTCGAGCGTCAGGAGGTGCGGCAGGTCTCGCAGCTGCAGGCGCTCCCCCAGCTTGGCGCCAGCAGTAGGCCACCTTATCAGCACGGCCGCAGTAGCGAGGAGCGTCGCACACAGGGGTGCCGTAACGCACAAGCAACTCCTCCTCCACGACGTTCACGAACTCAGCGTATAAGCGATCCAGCCGCGCCTGAGCCTGAACAGGACTCGCAGCTCCTCCCAGTGCCACATCATCCTCGATGAGGTCGCGGGTACCAGCCGCCAGCACAGGCGTGACGCCCTCAGTCGGGGCTGCCTTCGGGAAAGCCTTCGGCGCCCGCAGGACGAGGAATTTGACCGCCTTAGCCCGCGCGTCGAGGGACGCCAGCATAGGGAAATGTGGCGACGCAGGCCAGCCCTCCACAGGGCGGGGCAGCGCTAGCGAACCCGCGATAGACAAGCTGGCCAGCCAGTAGTCGATGGTCGAGTAGGCTCCCTGAGCGCTGCGGCACGTGCCCACTGGATGGCGCCCTGTAGGAGCAGGGGGCCTCGCGACCACTGCTGCAGGAATGAAGTCCAAGAAGCCATGCTCCAAGAGGTGCTTCGGATCGCAGTTGAAATCCCCCGCCGCAAGAAACGGCCTGTTCCAACCCCGCAGCGCTGTAGCGATGTCGTAGAGCCGCATCGCATTCACGTCATTCCATCGTCCCACCTCAAAGTAGCAAGACAACAGCACGAGCCCACCTTTGATGCCAAAATCCGCATGACATGCAACACAGAAGCTCGGAATCAGGTCAAAACCTCGCATGCCTGGCAGCATCGTCACGCTGATGTGACGTCGAATGAAAAGACCAACTCCAGCAGACGGGCGCCCCGACTCCAGACGTCGGCATGATGAGATAAGAGCATGCCATCCAGCTCGAGCCGCCCAGCCTTCAGCGCGCCGACGATCGTCGCCATCGATGCGCAGCTCCTGGGCCGCCACCACCTGGATGCCAAGGTCGCAGTGGGTCAGAAACTCCCTGCACGAAGCCAAGGACGAGCCGTTGTAGGTGACGAAAGAGGCCTTCACGCGGGCGCTGCCACGACGCCCACGGTGTCTAGCCTTCCATGTCGGCCTCACCTGCGGCTTCCCAGGCGGCTGCGGCGGTTTCCCCGCCAGCGCGAAACGCGTAGGCAGCACCAGGAGGCAGCGCCGCAGCAGGGGGAGCCGTGGCAGATGGCGAGGAGTCTGCTGGGCCTCCTGCTCCAGTGGCGGCGGGGGCAGCCGCGGCTCCTGAAGCCATGAGGGCTGAGGCGGCGGGGAACGCTGTGCCAAGCGCTGCAACCTGCTGCCCGATCGCCTCCAAGACTGCGATGCCCTGCCCACTGGCGACGCGCGCAGGGGCACTGGCGAGCGTGGCCTGGAGGCCGACCAGCGTGGAGGCGAGGGCTGCCAAGTCGACACCACTGGAGCTCGCCGCCGAGGCCGCCACGGCGCGCTGGGCAGCCTGAACCTCCACCTCCAGGTTCTTGACCTCCACGTCGGCCACGCCCTGCTGCCTGCGGAGGTCGTCGACCTTCGCGATAGCCTCCACGAGGTCGTCCGCCACCTGGGAGGCTCTAGCCCGTGCCTCCTCCACACGCTTCTGGAGGGAGACCAAGAGCTGCTCAGGGGGCTGAGCACGACGCTCCTCAGCCTCCAGGGTGGCGAGCTCCTGTCGCGCAGCCTGGATGAGCGGGTGCTCGTCGGCGTAGCCAAGCTTCTGGAGAGCAGCCAATCCTTGCCTGGCGCGCGCGACTGCAGGCCCAGCAGGTTCTCCGTGGGCTGCACCGACAGGAGGACCAGCACGACCGCGAGGAGGAGGGCCAGAGCGGCGGCGGCGGCCCGCGGATGCCGACCTCCCGCCCTGCTCCGAGGAGGCGGGCGACTCGCGGACCAGGCGTCCGAGGCGGTCCCTGCCGCACTTCCAGCACGTCTCGCGGCTGGGGAAGTTGTTGCGGAACCCGCACAGCCTCGACGCAGCGCAGGGCCAGTTTGGCTGCTGGGGCAGGGCCGCGCCCTGCCTGGGCTGCTGCTGGGCCATGCCACGGCCGCTCCCACGGTCGCCGTGGTGCCCAGCACGCCTGGCGCGGGCCGCGGTGAGGCGCAGCACGACCCTTGCACGAGATCTCAGGCGGCGAGCCCGCCCGTGCCACCCTGGGCTGCGCGAACAGGCCCTCGGGAACACGATGTGCGGGCGCCCGCACGCAGCGGGCCGCCGGCGCGGGGGCTATGGCGCGGGCCCCGCGGCGCCCGCCCGCAGGCAAAATGGCTGCGGGGGGGCGTGGGGCGGGGGCCACGGTGCCAAGCCACCTTGAGCCAAAATGGCTACGGAAGAGTAGGGGGGGAGGAGGAGGAGGAGGAGGAGGAGGAGGAGGAGGAGGAGGAGGAGGAGGAGGAGGAGGAGGAGGAGGAGGAGGAGAGAGAGGATAACGAAACATACGTAGACCTGAACACGAAATTCTTGACTGTAGGGTAAAATCAAAAGGAGAAAGGGGGAGATTCCGGGAAGATGCGAAACGCACGTATGGATGGGGGAGAATGAGTTTCACGTCAGAGAAAGAGAGAGGAGAAGGAACGTAGGGGGCTGTTGGTTTCCCTCGCCTGGATTCCATCCCCAGGCGGGGGCCGAGGGAGGAGGAGGAGGAGGAGGAGGAGGAGGAGGAGGAGGATAACCCCGCCGCGCGACTCAACATGGTGAGCGCAATATGTATTCAGGAAAATCATTCCTGCTGTAAGCCAGCTGAGGCCACATTCGCTGTCACTTCAAGTGACTTGTTAACCGTCGCGAAAAGGTCCCAAACTGCCGTGGGTTTCTAGATCTTCCGTGGAGCACCTGCTGGCATGCTGGCTTCTTGTTGCATGTGCCTGCTGTACGTCGCAAGGACGCCGCATGCAGGCGGACACTCCAGACGTCGTCCGTTGCTGCTCGTGTCCCTGCCTCCAGCCTCTCCTGCCGCCGCCGTCGGTCGCCGTCTTCTGTGCGTGTGAACCCTAATCTCGCTCCTTGTCGCCGTCGCCCCCCTCCTCCTCCTCCTCCTCCTCCTCCTCCTCCTCCTCGCCCTCTTTCTCACATCTCCATCCTTCTACTGCTCATCTACTCCCCATCCACTTTCCCCCACGCCCTCCTCACTCCTTCTCCTGTTCTTGGTGTGTGTCTTCCTCCTCTTCCTGATCCCCCCATACCCCATACCCTCAATCTGTTTCCTTCGACAGAACCTGAGCCCGATTCGCTTGCAGCGGCACGCTCATCCTACGTATCTGTCGTCATCCGCCACCACCTCATGCTCCTCTTCACTCTTCGTCACCGTCCTCAGAAAACGCAGCAGAAGCCTTGGCCTTGAATGTGTTCTGCGACGACCACTGGATACGGTCCTGGCAGCTGGCCACCTGCAAACGCAACGGTAGCGAGGGGCAAAACCTGAAAGGAGGGACGATGGGTGCGAGCGAAAGTGGCAGCGCCAGCTTTTTGCAAGTAGCTTTCGGCGCGAGATGTCGTTGCGTTACGAAGTGGTCACTCTATACAATGGGAAAGATGGAGGGGGGGACTGGGCATGGTGGGAAGGTGGTGGTGAGAGCGGAAGGAGGGGGATTGCGGAACGGAGGGAGAAATACCCGCTCGCTTGCATCCCCTCTCCCCAGACGTCTTTCTTCTTCCCACCCTCCTCATTATTATGCCTTGTTCGTATACGCTCCCAATCTGCCACCCACTTGGCCGATAGCCGGCTAATTCGGGCCCTTCCACCATACCCGCAGAAGAAACTACAATGTCTACCCTGTTCCCCAAAGATGAAATATTTCGCGTCGCCGATGCTCAAATATTCGTGGCGGGAATGGAACGGGGCGCCCATCGCGCGCGCAAGGGCACAATGTCGCCCTCGCCTCGGCGTTGCGAAAAATTGTTTTGAGAAATGACTCCTGTTTGGGCGCCGCCCCTGCTTCTCGCTCGCCAGTTCGTCGACAGCGGGGCCGCGCCCGAGCGAGCCACACGTTGCTCTGGAAGTGCCGCTGCCACCTGGACTCGTCGCTTGTGCACTCGCCATGTCGTTGGGGACGAGGCCGCGCGCGAGCGGGCGAAGTGTCTCGGCACGGCACCGTAAACACCCCCCCGCCCCTCCCCTGCAGCTCACCCCCCAGTAGGCAGAGCGCCCCATCCGCCGCGTCTTCTTTATGGCCCTCGCCCATCCATGTGCAGACTTCGCCCTGAAGTGGCGTTCCCGCTCTGGCGAGGCGCATGTTTGTTCGGTCGGCCAGTCGCGTGAAAGCGGCAGCGGCAGCGGGGCCGCGCGAAAGAGAGAGAGACATGTAGTACTCGACCAAGCGCCGCGCAGATTTTGCGTGAAAGTGGCAGTGCTGCTGCTGCGGCGCGGTGCGAGCTCGTCTCCGCCGCAGTGATCAGACATTTGGCAAGGATCTCCTGGAAGTTCTGCTGGCGCCCGCGCGCGAGCCCCTTCCGTTCGCTAGCGGGAACGCGTGCCTGTCCCAATACCAAGTTGCGCCACCATTGGCTCTTACGTTGTGGGAGGGTGGGGATGGGCGGGCCCCGGAGACTCACTCGACATCATCCTGTTCCTCCTCATCCAGCTCCACACTCCTTCCCTCCAGCAACTTTTGGCTACCTCCAGCAACATCATAACGTCGCAAGACCAATGCGAGCACAACAAGAAACCCACCGACCCTGTCGGCGTGTGTGAGAGGCTTGCCATTTTCGTCGTCGTCGTCGTCGTCGTCGTCGCCGCTCCCCCTCAAGCGTTCCAACCCTTTGGAAGTCGAGCAACGTCGTAATCGAGTCGAAAGGAAGCACCTTCCCTTCGATCCCTCCCCAGCCGGGGGGGGGGTCCCAGGGGGGCGGGCTGTAACCCCCCACCCTCCCGACCGGGGAGAGGAGAACCCCTCCCTGGGATAAGCTTTCGGCTCCAGGGCGTCCGCGTCGTGGTCGTCGTCGTCATCGCCGTCGCTGTCGTCCTCGTCCTCGTCGTCGTCGTCGACGTCGTCATCGTCGTCGTAGTCGTCGTCGTCGGGCAACTGCAGCGCGGCGCTCGCCGAGAGGGCAGCCACAGCGGGTACCACCACGACGGCAACGCCCGAGGCGGCAGGCCCGCAAATCAGCTTCCGCCTTCTTCGACAGCGCGCCGGATTCTGCAAGATGGCATGTGCAGCGCGCACTGTGGACCCCGTGAAGGCGGCTGCCCCCCTAGCCGCCTTTGACGCTTCAGTGCGGGATGCTTACGCGGACCTCGCTGGTTTACAGCCGGCCGTGGACGAATGGCAACAGGCCACGCTGAGCCTCCGGCACGCAGGTCTGGGCCTGCGGGGCACGCAGCGGCACTCGGCGGCCGCGTACTTCGCCTCCCGTGCTGCCACTAAGGACCTCTGTGTCCAGGTCGACAGCGGCTACAGCTGGGATGCCGAGGCCGCAGGCTCAGGCCTTCAGCGCGCGGTTGCCTCGCTCAAGAGAGAGCACTGCCAGCGCAGACTGCTCGCCGCTTGCTGGACGACGCTGCAGCCGCGCGGAAGCCGCAGAAAGTGCTCCCCGACGCGCTGGACGAGGTGAGCCTGCGCGACCGACTGGCGCTTTGGGCCGCTGTGCTTTCGGAGACCCTTCCCGGCTCCTCCGGCTTCTTGACGGCCATAGTCCACGAACGGATGGAGGAGTCGCTCAGGCTCTATTTGTCTACCACTCTGGAACCTGCCTCCTCGTGGGAAGACTTTGGCTTCAGCAGCCTCAGATGATGCCGCACTACCCGAGCATCATCAGGTATAGTAACGAGAACGACAACATTATGACCACCTGGAGTAACGCCGCCAAAACCTACGCCCATCCACAGGCCACCCAAAATCGCATGGCAACCGCAATTCGAAGGCGGCATCGACCGCAATATCTTCGTGATCAAAATCGGCGACTACGACTTTTTTTTTTTTTTTGGGGGGGGGGGCAGGCCTGACGCAGGCACATCACTAGTGTAGGCACATGGATTCTGGAAGGGATCCAGATGGACTCTGACTGCACGAAACTACACCAAAACACGGCCATCATGCAGGAACGGGCGCTCGCGATAGTCACATTGCAAGAGACAAAATTCAGCGCAACACCATTTTCCGTGTACAAGGCTACCTGGTGATACTTTCAGGCGGCCCCGAAGATGCACGGGAATATGCTGGGTTGGGCTTCGTTGTGGCGCCGTGGGCGCGGCACACAGTGATGAGTTTCATACATTACAGCAATCGATTGGCCAGCTTAGAAATCAGATTCCCTGGAGGGCTGGTGTCGTTCATTTGTGCGTATGCTCCGCAGTCGTGCCTTGATTTCGAAGCCCGTCACACATTCTTGTGTGATTTGTCTTTGTTGACAGAACTATCAAAGGCGCATGCCAGTTTTTTTTGATGGGGGATTTCAACGCGTGATTGGGCAATCCAGATTTCTGCAACTTGGAAGTCGTTGGGCCCTTCGACTGAGGCGACCGCGGCGCCTGCCCGGGGCCGCTGAGCAAGCAGCATATGTTGACAGAGCACTGCACTTCCACGGGGCCTCATGACTGCAAACACTTTCCTTGACACAAAGGTGGAGCAACGGGTGACATATTTTGACATTGGTGCATCTACCGTCTCAGAGTTGACGCCGCGCAATTTCCGTGAGATCGACCACATTCTAGTCCGGCAAGATTGGCAAGGGGCAGAGAGGGTGATGACTTCAGACAAGAGCATCCGACTCATTTCACACAACTTCATGATTACAGATCTGCTGGATATTCATAAACCCAAGGCGCCACCGACAACGAACAAGACATCTTTGGACCGTTCGTCTTAGCAAATGCCGAGCGTGGCATCCCAACTTGCGTGGCGTTCTTGTCCCGCACAGGTGGCGCCCAACCTGGCCGGACTGAAACCAGTAACACCCCCGAGGGCATTGCGACCCTCATCGGGCAGCCCATGCACGAGGCCGCCGGCGCGACTCTACTTCGGACAGCTTCGCGCCCCAACCAGCCATGGATACAGACTCGGACACTAGATTTGATCGAATTGCGCAACCGTGCCCAAGGTGCCGGCCAAGCCATGCTGGAGACACGCCTTGCTTCACAGGTCAAAGCATCTGCGAAGGTTGACAGAAGGGAGTGGATAGATCAAATGCTCGCCGGAGGTGATTGGGGGAGTTTGGAGCGCTTCGAGAGCAGAGGTCGCAGATCCCAAGGCCGCGTCCGAGACGAAGGCGGCCGTCTGGTCGACAGCGACAGAAGGGTAGAAACTATGGCAACGCATTTCGAGAAGGTGCAATGGGCAATTCCTCTCTGCAACCGTCCGCTTCCGCAAGGGGCCCAGCTGAACCAGACAATCACCGTGAACCAAGACGAATTCTCCATGCTGGAACTGTCCGCGGTCCTGTCAAAGATGAAAGCGGGCAATGCGGCGGGCCCAGATGGAGTGCCCCCTGACTTCTGGAAGTCGCTGGGCCATAGAGAGCAGGCGTGTCAGTGCCTTCTAGTGCCAGTTAATTCCACTATCCTGGAAACATTGCACAGTGGCGGCCCTTTTCAAGAAAGGCTTGCCACAGAACTACCAGCCAGCTACAAAGTCGTGGCGAGCCTCATTCTGAACAGAATGTCCACTGGAGGGGTGGGGAGAAGCTGAGGGACACGCAATTCGGTTTCCAGAAGCAGAGGCGTTCCACTGATACGACCTTCTTAATTCAAAAAACGTTTACACAACACCCACACTCGAGAGCCAGGCTTGAACCTATGTTAACTCGGAGCGTGCCTGTACCTTTAAAATCTTGATTTTAAAGTGCTGGGGGCAGGCGGGGGTAGAGCGACAACCCTAGTGAAAAGAGGCCCCACAGAATATCCGACGCAGCAGCGGGAGGAGACACACCCACAGGACAGCGAGCGGCTCGAGAGGAGGGGGCACCCTCCGAAAGTATCTGTTCGCTGCGGCGGGGCCCCATGCGAGGCCCGAAACTTAAAAGGCCGAGAGGTTCCTGACCGTGCCTCGGCCCACGGACGGGCCACGAAGCCACGCTGCGAAACCCCCAGAGCCCATACAAGCCCAGGGGGGGCAGGGTTGGGAGCCGAAACTTAGCGCAAGGAGCGGAGGGGCAAGCACGAGAGAGAACGAGCTAGCCCTACTCCTAAAGTACAGTTGAGGCGGCTATCTGAACGTTTAAAGGGGGCGTGTAAAAGTGTGTTTAAAAACGCGTATTTACACAACACCCACACTCGAGAGCCAGGCTTGAACCTATGTTAACTCGGAGCGTGCCTGTACCTTTAAAATCTTGATTTTAAAGTGCTGGGGGCAGGCGGGGGTAGAGCGACAACCCTAATGAAAAGAGGCCCCACAGAATATCCGACGCAGCAGCGGGAGGAGACACACCCACAGGACAGCGAGCGGCTCGAGAG